ATGTTTTCTTTCGGGATCAGATCCGTAACTAGGATGAGGCGAGCGAAGCACTTGCCTTGGTCGCCTATATCTGGGGGGCGCAAAAATATTAGATAATTAACTTGTTTCACAAGACATTATTTCTCGTTTTTCTAGAAACCTAATTACAATTTTTCGGATTGTTCCGAATCGTATTAACGCGGCGGCGGCGATGTACGTCCAAACAGACGAGTGCGAAGTTATTGTGTCGCGACCACCGTCTTCTCGGTTTTTCCGCGTTTCCAGTGTTCGGCGATAGGAAAAACGCGAGCGCCGGCGGAGGCGTCGGGTCGTTAAATTCGCAGTATATCACGCGCGCATGCGCATCAATTTCGTTTCTCGCGCGCGTTGCCGTAGCGACCATTGCACGGTGCGGCGGCGCTTCCGAGTCGGTTGCGTTTCCGGCCGCCGCCGGTACGCGCGTTCAATGTCGAGGGATGAGCTCGGGACGAGGGACACGAGGGATGGTGCCGGACGTGCCGCCGGAAAAACGTTTTTCCCACCGTCGTTGCGGCCTGGCGCGGAGCCCGAAACGGCCGGACGGGGCACATGCGTACGTCGCGCGCACGCACCAACGCGTTTTCCGCCCGCAAGCGGCGCGCACATGCCCACACGCATCTCTCCTCTCCCCGCACGACAACGATAAAAGTACACATCGTCGGTGCGCGCACACCCTTCGCACGGTTTCCCGGCGAGCAACGTTATAATAACAATAAAGGAGACGTAACGTTTTTTCTCTTTTCGATTATTTTTTTCTCTCTACCAGCTCGAGCTGTTTTCCATTTCATCATCATTTTCAATCGTCGCGGCCGGAGAAAACAATTCATGCACGCGCTTACGGTCTGCGACGCGCACCCCGCCCGCTGGGCCACTCGGTGATGTTCGGTTGTGTTGTGGCTCGTACATTTTGCCGGCGGTCAGTCAATTTTTTCGATAATAGTTGATTTCTTTCCGCGCGACGCCAGAAACTCCAAGAGGAACACGGACCAGCTAGATCATGAAATGTTCTCGCTGTTCGCAGCGTTTTCAAGGTACAAACTCGATTGCCGCGAAAACGATCTGTATCGATTCGCTGTGAGTTCCCGATACCTACGACGTTGAAATCGTGACGCGCACTCGCCCATATTGTCGTGACCGATTGTAACATTCGTGTTGGATTACCGCGGTATTCCATTTGCACGAACGATGCTATTGACAATGACAGCTTTTACAGTTCATTTGGGCTAGAAAAGCAAAATCTTTCCCGAGAAACGCGGGCCCGGGAGAGGTACGCACGAATGCGTATAAACATTGCTTAGTCCATCGTATAACGAAATTTTAATTGTACACTATATAAATGCACATTTCGTCAAGTACGTAACGCTAAGACGCGACGATAACACGTGGATTTGCCGTCGCCTTATATCTACGCACGTGCGTGTTCGCGTCATATCCGGGCTAGACGATGACACTTGGCGGAGATCTCACCAAATATGAACCGGGAAAACGCGAGGGAAAAGGGGCTGCTGCTGCTGCGGTGGCGGTGGTCAACGAGCAGCAGGTAGACGTGTAGGAGGTATATGCAGATACTAATGCTACACACTGGTGGAACGATACTGAAACGATATATCCTTTGTGCACGCGGTCGTGTTTGTGCCGTGTGCGGTACATTGGATACACAATAAAGCGCAGGTACGTCTGTGCGTGTGTGGTGCGTTTGTGTATTCAGTTTTTCGAAAAAATAAAAACCACTTAAGACGACAGTTTTCGAATTGATACCCGTTGGGGCGCGACCGCCTTGCAGTATAATGTACGTATTACTATTAAATACAATAGGGGCGCGCGGAAGACTGGTCGGAGTCCACGACGACGATCATGGCGGCTCGAGTATAAATATTAAGACCCTTTTTCAACGTTGAATACATACATTGTAGTTTGCGCATAATGCACCACTCGTGAAAACATTCCTATTTTTTGTCCGATAACCGTCGTGCAAATGCGTCCAATTTAATAACGTATCTCGTCTTTCTTTTCAACGTAAAAACCTCACCAAACGCGTTTTGTTTAGAACTGTTGACACCGCCTTTCGAACATATCTGTTGTCACAAACATAATCATTAATAATTCTGTTTTTCGCGATTAAAAACAAAACTAACACCACCCAAGAATAGGCATTCTTACAGCCGTTAAGCATACTTCGTTTTTTATTTTTTTTTACGTTAAACTTTAACGTAAATCTATGTATTACGTGTTTTTGTTAGTGAGTTGTATTAACACTCGTAAAATCATAAGAACGAGAAAGAATAATAATAATTCTGATATTAGCAAACGTTCGCAAAAAGTTATTCATATTTATATACACCGCACTCGGTAGCGTTCACGTCAATTTCACTTTTGATGTAACTGCGTTGATAATATGATGGGTAGAAATCGTTCTTGATCTTCGTGCCCGGACAAACGTCCACTGTTGCTCACACGTCGTTGGATATCAAAACGTCATTGTCCTGGAAAACAAACGTGTCAAGGCAACTCTACGAATCCACCTGATAGTAATCGTGGCCTATCAGCACGCGTGCATACACACGAATTGATTACACACGGCCGCAAGTGAAAACAAAACGATTACATAAGAAGGTTTTACACCAGGATTCGGCGCGCGTCATACGTATTTCGTTATTCGTTTCGCGATCGTGTGATCTGCAGCGTTTTGTTTTTCGCTTTGCCTCCGTGCGCACAACCATCTTATCGATCGACGGGACGCGCTCTCGTGTTACGGTCGCGTAACGCTCGTTCAACAAACAAAATATTAACACTCGACGAGAAAAATGTTATTATTTACCCCGACAAAGAACGATAATATTACACGCGCACGGCCGACATATTGGATACACACGGAACTATTTGCGCGTAATTCGCTTCCCCCCCGCCGCGGCGCCGTTTCGAGTGGCTCTCGTCTAGCGACGGCAAAGTACGCGCGTGAACGTCCTGTGCACGCGAAACGGTATGCACTCCACGCGCGCGCACGACGAACGGTCTCGAGAGTGTCTGAAATTGAATTCGAAAGCAATAAAGAACCGTTTCCGAAACGTGCGTTAGCCGTGCAAACACCTATATATGCGGGGGCGTGTGCGGATCACCGCCTAAAATTACTTTGTCGACCGAAAAAAAGGTTCTTCTCCGCGCGGCCACGGGCGTTGTTGCGCCAACAAGTGACGAAAGCGCACGCTCCGAGTACCCTTATCGAGTCCAGGTGCGACGGACGTCTCGCGCGAAAATCCCTCGATGGACGATCCCTGGCAATGTTTTCGCCCGCAACGGGTATTATTTGTACCGTATTTGATGGGAACGTAATATAGGGGAAATTGAAACTATAATCACAGGTTCCGAAAAAAAAGTCTCGGGACGGGGACAAATGCTCTTTTTTCCATCCCCCCCCCCCCAAAAAAAAAATACATCACCGGTCCGAGCCTAGGACGAGTAATAGTCACCCGCAACCCTCCTCTCTTTGCTCGTGACCATACGAGTTAAGTGTATTTATGTATACCACGAGACGAAAGTGATATTTTGATTGATCGAGTGTGATGTGTAAATGTACTTTAAGTACACAAACCGTGTACAGACACTGTGCCGGGGACGCGTTTCCAATCGATTCGCCTCGACCGACGGCCATCCGTAGACTCTCGGCCGAAACCTGTTTACTTGGTTGTAGCGCACCAAAGACCGAACGTAAGTGGCGCGGCGGCATCCCGATGTAATTATTGCCGCGCACTTCGTTGAAAATGTATTTTACACGTTTCGACGGGTAATAATTTAAAAAACGAGTATTTAATAATCGTATTATTATAAGTTGTAACGTTCCCAATGTGTACACACAAATACGTCTGATTCGTGCAGACGTCTGCGCCCGAGTTCGATTATTAATAATAATAAAAATAATCTACCTCGCCCGATGAGTATTAACGAGTCTGGTTTTCGTTTTATCATTATTATTTTCCCTTAAAACGAATTCTCTTTCACGATGCGCGCGCCCTCTCCGGTATATCGCACGCTCTTGTTGTCGCGGTCGCTGTGTGCGAACAAACTCTGCGTACGAGGAGAAATAATATATATTTTTTCGTCCAAAAACCGCGTACTCCCGTATTTTTTTCCCCCACTCGCAACCGCGGCAAATAGCGGTTAATACACCTTACGGTTACGTAAGCCGTACGCGGACGTCGAGGAAACAGTAAAACCGTTTAACTGTTCGACCGTCGAGCAACAATCGTTTTACGCGCGATATTTCGGTAGAATTTAAGAGCGGGACGACGACGTTAAAATCTCTCTCTCTCTCCCTCTATCTGGCCGTACTACACAAGCGTATAAAAAAAAAATTATATATATATATATATATGTGAACGAGTAATATTAATTAATATCCCCGCGGTGAGCTTACGACGGTGTGTGGGAATGCTTGCAGTCGGTGCTGTCACCGGGTGCGCGCATACGTGTATACACGTATTGCACGAACAAGCACACCGACGTTCGAGTTTTCCTCCGTCTCTCTCGCCGTTTGAGTGACAGATCCAATTTGCTTCCCCGCTGCTCACCCGAACAATAAAATCCGCTACCGTATCAGAAAATACCCACGTCCCGTATATTCGTGCACGTATACGTATAGTACGCGGTGTGCGTACGCGCGTAATATTTCGGTCGCTGCACGGTCGGCTGAGCAAGCGCCGGAGGGGGTGCGTTATGTTTTGCGTGTGGTCCGACCGCGTTTCGCGCGGGTTCTCCTAAAAACCGCTCGCTCCTTACACGACGACAGTAATAAAAATAAATAATAATAAAAATATTGTGCCCGTCGGTAATCTCCGTCGACGGGACGTTATTGCAACGGTACCGCACCGCGCGCGCGCGCGCGTCGACGCGTCCGTTGCATTGTAATCACGTTGAGTGGTGATTGCATTGCGTTTACCGAACGTAGAGATGTGATTGTGATTTGCGTTTCTCTCTATCTGTTGCAGACGATTCGGATCATTGCAACATGACGGCCGCGGCCGCTGCGATGGTCCAGAGCTCGGCGGCTCTGTTCGGTTGTTCGGCGGCCGGTCACAGCGGCATCAACCAGCTGGGCGGCGTGTACGTGAACGGCCGACCGTTGCCGGACTCGACGCGCCAGAAGATCGTCGAACTCGCGCACTCCGGGGCCAGACCGTGCGACATATCGCGCATACTGCAAGTGTCCAACGGTTGCGTGTCAAAGATTCTCGGCAGGTAAGCTTATTGGCGCTGTGGCGTACCAACCGTACATGGAAACTTCGAAATACGCCCTTATGTATTTTTCATTTGAAAATATTCCGCTCGTTAGGATATTATTTTCGATGATTAATATACGAAGGATTTTAAAGGTTTTGCAAACAAAATGCACGACGTTGACCGTTGTCATTTTTAACATTAAATGCAAGATTTTAATTTTTGCGCTCCCGCAGGAATTGCGCCCGGGGCACTTATCGCCACTCCCTTGTTACGGCCCTGCTTACCCCGCGATGTGAACGAACCGGTTACGATTGTCGCACGCGAAACCTGTATTGCGACCAGCGGAAAACCCAAAAACGAACTCGACCCTTGGCTCGGCACGACGTCCGAATGGTTTTCGCGAACAGAAACACGGAGACTACACACAGGTTTTACCTCTGGGTTGAGATTGCGAATCCGATAGGACCGCGGGACGATGTCACCGGATCGAAATGCAATCGTAAAAATGTAATCTTCGCGTGTTCACTTCCACTGCCTATTCTTCACCCAACACGACTAGCGAATATGTGTCCGCGAACCGGAATCTTGTCCGAAACCGAATACTTACCGGCCGACCGTTCGAAGAGTTCGTTTCCCGTTTACCGCGCGAATCACCATTATCGTGGCAAAGCACGCACGGCGCCGTACTGCCGACTTATGTTGTGTTACCTTTTTAACTGTTACAACGGACGAAGGGACAGCACATGATGACGCGCACGCAGGGCCGTAGCAATCAAATATTGCGCTCGGGGCGAAACTTCAAAATGTGGTCTTAAGTATTTTAATTTATAAAAAAAACTCACAAAAAACTAAATATTTTTTATAAACGCAATATAAACAATAATTTTTCTTTATAATTATGTGAGCGTTTTATTTAAATCAATAACTTATTAAAATATAAATATAATAAATATAAAATATACATAATAATTATAAGTAGATTCATAGATGTCACATAATAATATTTATAAATAATAAAAGTAAATATATAAATACATAATATTACTTTTACATATAAGTATTAAGTTATAAGTAACAATTAAATTGAAATTATTTTCATTTTTGCGCCCTTCTAGGAATTGCGCCCGGAGCGTAGGCTCTTTTAGCTCCCCCTTTGCTACAACCCTGCACACACGTCACGATTAAGTATAACGATAACCGATAATGCTGAACGTGCGTTCAGTGCGTATGATATTACGTATGTGGAATAATCGAATCGATTAATTTTCAACCGTAGTCGTTACCAGCTTACATAATAACGCATTATCCAGATAATCGGAGAAGCGTAGCAATACGGAAAGGGACACTGTCCGCGAGCGCAGGGGGATTCAAAGGACAACTGACTTGTTCAGTTTTCAGATATTCATGGAAACACGAATAGATTACGTGTAGTGCATCGATAGTGATTTTTTCCACACCATCTATGTTTTTCTAACACGATTAATTCTCGACGGACAGTCCACAAATAGTGTGCTCAAAAGTAAATAAAAAAAAAACACTTATGCTGTTCATTTCTCGCTTGCTCGAAATCATGTAGCAACAATAAAGGGCCTAAACCTTCTTTTTTCTTGAGTTAAGCTCTTCTATGCACCCGTCTCTGCCCGACTGCACCTCGACTGCCAGCTGTACCGATACCACGAGTACGTTTTCAGACACTCACTTGCGTCGCTCTCCTCGTTTCTCGTGCTTGACCTCCGAGGCGCAATAATACGTAAAATGTACGCGAGTTTAAATGGAATTATAATCCGCGAGAGCCGGTGCTGGTAACACGGTGTCATTAAAACGCGACGAGTTAATTATGCACCGCCTCTCGGGCGGCATATTTACATCAATACGCACGCACGCGCGTGTCCTTAAGACGTTTAGCGTCGACCGCGAGCAGCTTATTCCTCGTGTACATGAATCCTCGTTGCAGGTATTACGAAACCGGTTCGATCAAGCCGCGCGCTATTGGCGGCTCGAAACCCCGGGTGGCGACCAATGGCGTAGTGAACAAGATTGCCGACTACAAGCGCGAGTGTCCATCCATCTTCGCGTGGGAGATCAGGGACCGGTTGCTGTCCGAAGGGGTGTGCAGCAACGACAACATACCGAGCGTGAGTACCGCCACTGCATTGTAGTAGCTCATCCTCAACGCCCTTTTAACGAAGAGCCGTCGGCTTTCGCTGTTCCCGACTTCAGCACTCGGGTTGATCGAAATGACCACCGTTTGCAATTTATATTCCTTTGTTTTTATTTTTTATTTTTATGTGTGTTTGTATTTATAAGCCTTCGAAAACCGTTCGTAACGTTTAGGAAACCGTGAATAATGTTTTTTATTCTTAAAAATATGGGCGGAGTGAAAATAATGTATTATTTCAATTTCGCCACCTATATTATTTACAATCGTGAAAGTGTAAATATATCAAGTCCGCCGCGGGGATGTCGAAGCTCATTTGATTGTACGACATTGAATCACAATGAAATGTGCATAATAAAAACGAAATAACGATTAAAAAGGACAGTACACACACATACACACACACACACACACACACACATATAAATACATATATAGGTACGTTAGACGGTGCGTTTATTTAGGACTGAAATTGGTTTTCCAAACGATTATTTATGATTCGAATCGCGTTGTATTGACGGTAGTGTTGGGGTTTACTGCGCTCCCTTGCCACTTGTACTCTAAATAGTTTTCGATTGCATTCGATAAACACGCGTCGTGAGATTCAATGTTTACCAAATTGTTTCATCGAAAATCAACGTGTAAATATTTTCACGAAATGCCAATAATATTATCGTGAATATGAAATGTAAAAAGTACACATCAAGTATAGTAAATGTACCTGTATGCTGCCTATTGCTAAATTAGAACACAACGGTTGAAATATAAGAAGAATAACAAAATTTTTATTGGTGTTCCTATGCGAAAAGGTTATTTCTCAACATTCCACGTCTTATACCCGGCGCTTACAATTAAACAACGTATATTCGGACTATTTTACATTATCTCGAAACGAGTATTGTATTTTCAAACATAAAACGTATACGGGCAAATCGATTCAGTCAATAAATAAAACGCCTCATCCCATACCCTCGGCCCACCGTTTAGTCGGAAAAAGATACTTATTTTAGACAGGGGTAAAAAAAAAAAAAAAAACGATGATAATAATAATAAAACGTGAAATATGTTTTCTCCTTTTCGTCTCGTCCCCATCCGAAACACACTCGCCGCGCACATTGCACTTTTGTTACCAGTTTTCACGGGCCGCCGCACTCAATCCCAAACACAATGTATACAAACATCTATAACATAAAAATATATATAATATTGCTCCTGCGTGTGCGTGCACGTACACGGGGCTGCGGATATTGCGGAATTACGTTTTAATACGAAAGCAGAAAAGAAAAAAAAAAATGAAAAAAACCCGCATAGAAAAGAAATCTTTTGCTCGCCGTTGTGTACCGCGGACCTTGGAGCCCCGCGCACGGCGATCAGCGTACACGTCTCGGAGATCATCCGGTCTCCTGTCGACGCGCACTCGCCGAAGGATGTACATTCCTTTGGAGTGCCACTTGTACGGGTCTCATCCGCGGGAGAATGCCCCAAAGAGAGAAAGCTATCGTTATTAATCCATCGCGCGTTGTGTACGTATTCGAGTGCGTGCGTTATACATCGCACAAGAACATCGCTATGGATTGTACGTTAGTTTTTTTTTTCTTCTTTCCTTTTCCGACCATTATAACGTTACGCGTATGCCCACGTGCTTTTCGGTACTCGTACATTGTTGCGCGACCGCTTGACAATATATATTATTAATGTACACTTAACAGTTTCACATAACAATATCATCATGTGTTGTATGGAACGCGCAGCTGCGAAGTCCGTCGACGGCGCTGATCCTCCAGACGCCATTACACGTGTCCTTTTCCTTTGTTTTTCCTCGCGCGTACACCGATGACCAAACACCGATCGGCAGACGGTGGATATCGAACACGTATCCAGTACGGTAAGTATGTGGATTTGCTTACGCTGCGCGTGAAAACGCCGACTCGTTTTGTCGAAACGATTTGTGTCGCGTTGTTTTCGCGCAACATTTTCGTATCGGTCGAAAACCCGGAAGTCCATTTGATTCCGTTGCACGACGAAACGGCTCGCGAATCTTTTTATTTTTCGTACCGGAAAATGTATCGGCGGCGTACGCGCACGCGAGTTCTCGACGGTTTAATTGAATAAACACGGACTCGTAGGACGTTCGAGTGCGTTTGAGCTAATGAGTATAGAAGAGCGAAGGAAATTAACTCGTATTAATTCTGCAGGAATCGTACGGTAAACCGTACGACAAATTCCCTCGTGTTCGGAAACACTAAAAACAATACGTCTTTTGTTCTCGACCAAAGTGCCAACGAAAATATCCTAATCAAATGAAATAAAACAAATTTCCGTCTTCAAAACGAATCTCGAAGTGTCCTCGAGTGACGGGGCGCCCCGCAATCAACCCTCGTGATATACGGGATGTGTGTGTGTGTGTGTGTGTGTGTGTGTGCCCACGAGAGAAAGAACGGAGTGAGTATTTGCGTTACGTATTATGTTTGCATTTCATGTGGTTAAGTATATTTATCCTACATTTGTTAAGGACGCACTATGCGCACTTCATCTCGCAAAGAAACCGCGTCGGTGAAACTCGAACGAATTGCGGTATTTTAGCAATAATTGGATTTCTGGCCGATGAAGTGGTGCAGCGAAGAGGGAGGCATACAGGCAGGTTCGACGCCGGTGCCGATCATTACGGCGAGTGAAAGGAAAATAAAGAATTAGTTATGGAAAAAAAAAAAGCTCGAACCGAAGAAAAGAGAGCGTGTTCGAGTGGTCGTCGCAGTGCTCATGCAGCATCCTCCTGGGATGTGGGCCATTAAACGTACCCCGACGGCGCGCGCGGTACGCGTGAAGTACATGCATGCGGTTTCACCCTACATGGGTATTACGCGTACTCGTATACATTTCACTTCCGCGTCTCTCCACCAAACGGGTCAATTACCGACGATTTGTTGTTTTTTCAAGAGCCCCGTCGAAGCCACTGTTTTGCAACAAACCCTTACGCCGCGGTTATTGCCGCGTATGAGTAAACGTATTTAAATTATTATACGACGGGCCGTGCGACGATCGCGTTCGCGACAATCGCAGACGAAAAGTGCGTCGTGCGCGAAAAAGCGTGTCTCGTGGACAAACGCGTCCCGTCGGCGTATGAGGTACTCATGCGAAATTCGTGCGCGATTGTGCTCACACGGTCACGGGCGACAAGCAGTGCGTTTGGGGGTTGGTGGGGACGGAAATATTGGCAACGGCGGAGGAGAAATCGTGGCGGCGGTGGGGCGTCCGCTGGGGCGTGGAAAATTATTGCGGATTGGTCGGAAAACGCGTCGCGGGAAAACATGGCCGAGCCGGGAAAGCCTAAAACATTGATCCATATCGACAGGGCGGCGGCTTTCAGGCCATATTTTCCCTTCGGTTCCCGTTTAAAAACACCGCTGCCGCCGCGCGTGCCCACGGTTTAACAACGCGAAACTCGGAAGAAACGGCGTAGTCGGGTACGCGTCTAAATTATGACGTGCGATTTATCCTTTCGTCGCGGAGCGCGTTCACAGTAATCCTTTGGGATGCGTTTGTTTTGAAGTTTAAGAAGAAAAAAACCGTTTGCCTTTCTTTCCGGGACGTGCATATCGCGAGGAGATCCCGACGGGAGATCCTCTCCCGTCCTCCGTTACCACGTTTAACTCGTAAACCGAACGCTGGACACGTCGTTGTGCACCAAACGCGGTACTTTTATCCTTTTTCAGGAGCAACGGTGCACACGGAATCATGAATACATAATAAGCGTATACACTTCGACGACATAGTTCTGTTTATATTTCACGTTTTTTTTTCACCCATTTTTACCACCCTGCGTTCAACCCTGAGAACCGATATCGTCGGGGATACCATCATGGCGAGTACCGTATACCCACATTACCCCCAGCGCTTTTACGCACGAACAAAGTGGTAACCATCGCGCTACGGCTAAGACTCGGAGAAGAGGAAAAGTCCAAAAACACAGCCAACAAAGTTCACAATGCGTTACACAATACGATATCGGTTGTGTGCATTCGAACTGAATCGACGAGACTAAATATCGCCTATTATCGCTTTTTGAAATCAGTTGGTCTACTCACGAACGGATCGAGTCGTCGCTCATAACTGCTCGGGGTAGTTATTAACAATGTAATGCCGAGGTTACTATGCGGAAACATTAATTTTCGATTGAACGAACGTTGCGATATTTGAAAACGCATACAGTATGTGATTAATCGTCTGCACTAATCGAACGTGTGAATACTAATCGATTACTCTGATCAGTAAATTACATTGAATATACTTATTTTAATACAAATACGCGTCAACAAGCATTACTTTTACGAAACTCGCGCAGTGTTCGCGTTTACAAATCCGTATAGTTTCTCGTTAAAATACGTAATAGGAATTATTGACGTTAAGAACATGTACGTATTATCCTCGTCTAGTTATGGCTTTTCACAGCTGTTTTTCCCCCAAAAATGGTTTACCGTATAATGTTCACAATATACGAGTATATGTACATTACGACATTCATACGTGCGGGCGCCGAGTTGACGGATTTCGCGGCGCGGTACGTCATGTATATACATATAATCATACTTGCCCTAGGATATCCATCGTCGACAAGGGTCAAACGTCCGAAGCCCCAAGTCGGGTCATCTGTCATTGCTATAGCTTACATAAACGTCAACGATAATGTTTCCCTAAAAAAAAAAAAATATATATATATATATATATACATAGTTATATTTATGTGTACACCACAGCGTTTACCCTTCCCACAGGGGAGTGCGCGATTGAAAGTCTTCTGTTTAGGGTCGTCGGTGGTGGTATCGGGTGATGTGCGTGCACGGACGACGGAAGCCTACCACGGTTCGTGCTCTGTAATTTCGTAAACTAAAAAATAATAATGATAATAATGATGACGATGACAAAGAGAAGAAATTCCTCTTTCGAACTTTACGGGCCCATTGTCATTTAAATAAGAAG